AAAGGAATAGACGAAATTAACTTTCCTTTGTGAAAGCTGTGTTTGCTAAAAATAGGCGTATGAACATGAGAATGTTATATACTCAACAACAAATGTTCCTGTGACACCAATATTTTAGTGACTGTATTTTTCAAACAAGTAAAGTTTGGGTTTCAATATTGTAGTACATGTATGGAATCAAGTCACAAAAACGCAACTGCTACAGAAAACCATGCATTCCATGCAAAGGTTGACTTTTATGCAAGCCCCATATGCATTTCTCTACCCAAGAATGGCTTTAAAAACATGTGCGTTAACGGGATTCCATATGCATTGTTTAGCATCGTGCTGACAACAACCACTCAGAAAAACAACACAATTACGCAATTATTCAACATTACGAAATGCCACGCCTGTCCGAAAATGAGCGTCTGCGAGCCATTGGTATGCTTTAAGCAGGATCGAGTCAACGTGATGTTGCTAGACTATTATTTAACGTCCACAGAAACACCATTTGGTGTTTATGGCAACGTTGGCAACAGACGAATGCAGTCAGAGACCATCCTCGGAGTGGCAGACCACGCGTAGCCAATAATCGACAAAACAACTGGATTCGAACAACACACCTACGAAATCGATTCCAGCCAGCAACAGTGACTGCAAGAAGCATCCCTGGCCTTCGGCGAATATCATCACAAACCGTACGTCGCCGCCTCAGATGTGCAGGGATTGTCGCCAGAAGACCCGCCAGACGTCCCATTTTGACAGGAAACCACTGTCAAGCACGTCTACAGTGGTGCAGACAGCGACTACGCTGGACGGCCATGCAGTGGGGACAAGTTCTATTTACTGACGAGTCTCGTTTTCACCTCACCCACAGCGATGGACGGATTCGAGTGTACCGACGTCGAGGAGAACGTTACGTCAATCATTGTGTCATGGAAGACGATCGGTTCGGGGGCGGCAGCGTTATGGCATGGGGTGGGATTACAGCAAGACAGAGGACCCGTTTGATAGTGGTAGAGGAAATCTCAATGGACGGCGCTACCGCGACGAGATCGTCGGCCCTGTTGTTCTACCGTTTTTGCGTCGTCATGGCCCAGGCATTGCCTTCCAACATGACAACGCCCGGCCTCACATTGCTCGACTTGTTCAGGATTCTCTTCAACAAAACAACGTGAATGTCATCCCCTGGCCGGCTCGCTCCCCTGATCTCTCACCAATCGAGCACATGTGGGATGAGATGGATCGGCGCCTTCGTCATCAACCACGTGTTCCACAGACACTCCAGGAACTTCGAAACATGCTCCAGCAGATATGGACAGATATCCCACAGGACTTTGTGCGACGCCTGGTCCATTCAATGAGACGAAGATGTGTTGCTTGCATCGCAACCAGAGGTGGACACACACGCTATTGATTTGTAAATTGACATTTTGGCATGTTCATGTTTTTCATGAAATCATGCATTTTCTGAAGTCAGTATGGCAAATAAAACCATTTGAACACTTACAGGAGTCTTTTATCTTTTGCAAACCGATATTGTTTCAGATTTGGTAAAAAACTTAACTTTGCATTAAATCTTATTCAATGTCACAGGAACTTGTTGTTCAGTATATTTAGAGGATTGATAAATGTACGTGTTCTCAAGTTGGTCTAATATGAAACCTATGCTTGCCTTGGCATGCATTCCATGTAACGCGAGTCGCCAAGTAAAACAGCCAAGTACACGAGCGAAAGTACAGGGAACGCATTTCTCGTGCATTACGTGGGGGAACTCTCAGCGTTCACTGCTGACCATGGAGTTCTTGAATATTCAACAAAACGAAGTTGTTAAACTGTATAAGTGCCTCTTTGAATGTTGGGCATGGTTGAAATTGGACATGGTGTCTCACCGATTGGGGTAGGGTGGGCTCGTGAAGCGAGGAGACATACTGCACGGGCAGAAGGGGGGCGGGGATGCGATGCAATGATGAAGAGTTGTAGAAAGGACACAGATAAGTGTATAGTTCTGTTTAGCTATAGTTTCGATATCGATGAACTAATAAATCCACAGCAGAATATTGACGGGATATAGTTTTATATACGTATTTAAGAAGGTGTGTTAGTCTCTTACCTACAATGCCTATTTGGTAATCACATGAAATGGTGAAACGTCACGGGTGATGTTCCCCATTACTTTTAACGTTATATACAGACATTAATTGTTAGACATGAAAATCTTGAAAATCATACATGTATGTTCATGTATGTTCATGGATAATTTACTATTCATTAAGTAATCGCTTAGAATTGTTTGATTATACCACTCTCTAGGTGTATTTGTTTACTCTTATTTTAGACTGATGGTGTTGCCCTCAGGTTCTTCTTGGCTAGTTTTATATCACTAAGTCATTGAAGCGGTTGGAAAATGTCTACGAACGCGCGGGTTCATCAACAGTAAATCGGTAATAGAAAATAGTGATTCTCATCCAAGAACATACCAGTATATAATATGCCTGTCGATAAGTATGTGTAAATACAAGGCCGTAGTTAACTTATTTTGACAGGGGGACAAATATGTGTACATGTATCACTTGTCCCCAACTTGTATTTTCATGATTCAAATAAAACTGTTTTCTTTATTATAACCCCCCCACCCCCCCTAGCTGTGACAATCCAGTTTCTCTTTCTGCCTCGACAGGGTAGTTTCTCTTTCTGCCTCGACAGGGTTATGAATAAATGATACAGGAAACGAAACTTGATAAACATGTTCTCTCTTACTATACACTCAGGTGCCGACACCTTCAGCTATGCCTAACCTGAGAGACAGGGCTCCCACAAGCCGACTGACACCGCTGTGCGGGTTACTTCGCTGGCTATATTGGGGAAGGCCTTACGCTTGCAGGCGTCATTTGTGCCTGGAGATTATTTTGGTTGCTGCGTTCTGTTCGGGCTTGAAAGGCGAGATGTATTTCCGCTGTAGAGATGGATGCGTTGTTTTTAGTTGAGAATTAACTGTATGGTTCAGAGTTCGAATCCCAGAAGTCCTAATTATATTTCAGCAGGACATCTTCACCGAGTGTACAGTGGTGAACGTAATGATGTGTACTCAGACATGTGCAGAAATTGTCAGTCTGCAAAGATAATATCTCTGCTACAATTTCGAGGTTACTGTGACCTGGAGCTATAACCGCCAGCTACTTGATACATACATTGCCGCGTACATAATATAGGTAGAAGATATACAGAAGAGCGGACTTGATAACGACCTCTAGCTTCCGGCGTTTTTACAACAGTAGAATCACATTACCGTCACACAAGTCAAAGAGACGGGTCTACACTGCACTGTCTACTTATGTGTGGACCGGTTTCTAGTTCCAGTAATGATAATGGATATTGTATATACGCCCCACTAATGAGCAAATTCCATTCTAAATCGTTCATGCTGTTCTATCCATACAGCAAGAACTTTTGAACCAAAGCTCATTTCGTTAGGGTTCAATAAAAATATAACATAAAAATCCAATTGATTAATCGTTTTTTCACCGTTTGCATTGTCTTTCGAACGATGTTTTCACCGTATAATGGTTTTGAAATAAAATACGTTTCATGAAAGAAAATGTTTTTGTGTATGAAATTATTACTTTTCCTATGTAGACCTATATGTGTGTTTGTGGGTAGGGTGGGGTTGATGGGAGGGGGTATGGGCCCATTAGGGTGGAGGTAGTTTGTTTTGTAAATAAGTCAAATTTATTGTAAAATTGTAACATCCAATCCATTTATGAACCTCAGTGATCGCTTTATCATCGTCTTTCAAAAACATAAAGGACTTTTCAGTAATATGAGGCATCACACATAGCATACACTAGATACATACATTTACTCTGTGAGGTATCACGATGCACTGTCCAAGGTTCACCTATACAGCTCAGGTTATCTTAAATATTCATCAACTGACAAGCCTGGTATGTTGAGCTGACAGCTCACAATTGTGTTTACGTGACTCTGTGAATTGTCTCTTAGTAATAGATTATATGTTGTGATGAGTCATCAATGAGTTATCTCTAAAACTGGACATACACGTCGACAGGTCAGACGGCACTGGAAATTAGTTTGTTAAATGGAATGTATAGCTCTCGTTTGTACATTGCCTGCCTATCTATATAGGTCTGGTGCTAGGGGAAAAAATACTCAAACATTCACCGGCGGCTGATCTAAAGAGTATTACGCATGTCTGTGTGTTACTGCAAAGGAGTGAGTCGGTACTGCGTAGAAATAGACATGATTCACTTTCCCTGCATCAGCAACTACCCGCAACAAACATCGATTTATCTCAATAAAATCACCGGGTATGGCTATATGGTCGTATGTACATATATATATATTTATACTGTGAACAGACTAAACAACGCTCGAGCATAGATATGAAAATGATAAATGAATTATAGATAAATTTTAATTTTAATCCAGCGTCAAAAATTAATTTATTTGTAAAAATTGTTTTGTCTATAATTTTCTCACAAAAGTCGAATGCGATTATACAGCCAGTACGTGTGTCTGGATGAATGAATCGGAGATCGCAAACACGTGGTGCAGGATGACGTCACTGCCAAAAGGGTGATTCCGATATAGAGGCCCACTAAAGGGGGGAATTGTGAATTGTTCCAAGTTTTGAGTGCGTTTTCATCATTTATATATTTTCATCATTGGAAAAAAATAATTCACACTGGATCCGATCAAACGCAAGTCAGCAATATCTACTAAATGTATATCATTTGTATGAAACTAAAGGTATATATCAGAACAGTTATGTTATGGCACACACCATCAATTATATCTAAAAAAGATAATTATATTGTTATGTTGTTAGTGCATGCATGAAATACACGTGATATTGTTTTTATGCGTTAAGAATGAAAACTCAAATACTTCAGTCTCAATTATTTTTTTAAAGAATACTTCAAACAATATTTACATCCAACCTCAACGAGGCCCCTGCGGCACGTGACATATCTCTCCCGGTAAACTTGTCTGAAGCGGTTTAAACGGCAGGTATAAAACTGACGTGCCCTGACAATCGTTAGCAGTTTGAACAGTTTTTCAGCAGTTACATACACGCAGTCAAAATGAGGGAAATAGTTCATGTCCAAGCTGGACAGTGTGGTAATCAGATCGGAGCTAAGTTCTGGGAGGTGATTTCAGATGAGCACGGAATCGACCCAACAGGAACATACCACGGAGATTCTGATCTGCAGTTAGAAAGAATCAACGTTTACTACAACGAAGCAACCGGCGGAAAATATGTCCCTCGTGCTATCCTCGTCGATTTGGAACCCGGCACAATGGATTCCGTTAGATCTGGACCTTTTGGACAAATTTTCCGTCCAGACAATTTTGTTTTTGGTCAAAGTGGCGCCGGTAACAACTGGGCAAAAGGACATTACACGGAGGGTGCTGAACTTGTAGACTCTGTCCTCGATGTTGTGCGAAAAGAGGCCGAAAGTTGTGACTGTTTGCAAGGTTTTCAACTGACACATTCACTAGGTGGGGGTACGGGGTCTGGAATGGGTACTTTGATAATCAGCAAAGTGCGAGAAGAATACCCAGACAGAATCATGAACACATTTTCCGTCGTGCCATCGCCAAAGGTAAGAAGTTTTCACCGTGCCAGTTTCAGCTGGTTAAAAACCCGATTTTGATTACAGATTACGTCACGTTAACCCATGGTGCATTAGAAATAATTGTCAGTTTGGCAAATCGTTGACAGGTTTCATTTAATTTTATGAAAAATGTATTTCGTTCAAATTCAGCATTAGCTAATATTTTTTAGGCCAACCGTATATCTTATCAGAAACAATGTCGAGGAAGTGTGGAATGGTGATGTTATGTGTTATCAATGTTTTTTTAATTGATTCAAGTTTCTCATGCTGCACATTTATCGAGTAATTGCCCTCTTGAAACGGTTACCGCATGGTTAGGTATGTCATGGATATCACCATAGTTGCTTGATGCAAGCTAATACTGTAAGTGAACGTTTTGAGTAGGCCTAAATTATGACCGAAAAGGAACTAATAAGAAAATGTTATCAGCTGATGGTTGCAACATTGTCAGTCTAAGTTGTAAGATGTATTAACAATCTTATTTCGTTTATATGTAAATCCCGTTTCGTCTAAAGTGCCAATGCCACTTTTGTACTAACTGTTTTTGGCGCGAGTAATAAAAGCATGGCGATCATCGCCTATGAACTAAAACTTGTCATCGTTTACCGTTCATCAAGCTTATAAACAAGCAACTATCATAACAGTTTATAAATAGATATAGTCTGGACCAGGCGAACTAGTGGTTGATAGCATGATCAATGTTTTTTACTATCAGTGTAGACTTGGATGGGTCATTACAGAGCTTAACCTATACTTACATTTAGTACCAGAAGTAAAGTATATTTATGAATATAGGCCTATATATCTACAAAATAAAGCAAAATCCAAATGGCACCCAGTACAATGCTTTATTTCAGGCCTAGAGCTGAGAAAATCTAGACTTGCCAAATCATTGAAGACATGAGTTGATTTAAATTCTTATTTATTCTCAAAGGACTGGTAGACCTAATTGACCCATCTGGTCACCATTTTGGGCACTGGGGACCTAACAATAGGCTGTTATGACTAACCTATGACCTATATTCCACATTGACAGGCCCCATTGATATAACATCAATTTCGCCCAATGAAATTGGAAAGTGGGTTGAATATATGAGTGACATCACTGCATTCCATGGGTTTATTTTAACATCATCAATATGTGAGGGTTATCTGTTTGGAAAATAGACATTTCTGCTACATTTTTGCTTGAAGATGAATGATATGAAACTATTTTTGTTTCAGGTGTCCGATACAGTTGTTGAACCATACAACGCCACATTGTCAGTACATCAGCTTGTTGAGAACACAGATGAAACATACTGCATTGACAATGAAGCTCTGTATGACATCTGCTTCAGAACCCTCAAACTGACCACACCTACTTATGGTGACTTGAACCATTTGGTATCTGCAACAATGTCTGGTGTGACAACATGCCTCCGCTTCCCGGGCCAACTGAATGCAGATCTTCGCAAGCTTGCTGTCAACATGGTGCCCTTCCCTCGTCTGCATTTCTTCATGCCAGGATTTGCACCACTTACTTCAAGAGGCAGCCAACAGTACAGAGCCCTTACTGTTCCTGAGCTCACTCAGCAGATGTTCGACGCTAAGAACATGATGGCTGCCTGTGATCCACGACATGGCCGCTACCTCACAGTTGCTGCAATCTTCCGTGGCCGCATGTCCATGAAGGAGGTCGATGAACAGATGCTGAACGTCCAGAACAAGAATAGCAGCTACTTTGTAGAATGGATCCCAAACAACGTGAAGACCGCTGTCTGTGACATCCCACCACGTGGTCTCAAGATGTCTGCCACTTTCGTTGGCAACAGCACTGCCATCCAGGAGTTGTTCAAGCGCATCTCTGAGCAGTTCACAGCTATGTTCAGGAGAAAGGCTTTCCTCCATTGGTACACAGGTGAGGGAATGGATGAGATGGAGTTCACAGAGGCCGAATCCAACATGAATGACTTGGTGTCTGAGTACCAGCAGTACCAGGATGCAACTGCCGAAGAGGAGGGAGAGTTTGATGAGGAGGAGGCTGAAGAGGAGGGATAAATAACTTGTGAGCTGACCAGTTAGCATGGTTACTTAACCATTTGAACATTTGCTAACTGTATGTCATTTCAAACATTGTATTCTGAAAATTTTGGTTTAAATTTGTTAAATCAATTCCATGGGCTTGTCATGATCAATACTTTTCGTTCTTATTTGAGATATTTCTGAAAACAAAATACATCAGGTAAATTCTCCAGCACTTTTGGCATATCATGTAAGATGCTTATTTTGGTATCATACCTTAAAAATCAGATCACTGTTCCATTAATTTGTCAAATATTGTTTTTAAGTGCCAATCAGTTTTCACCCTTTTCATAATATTTTCAATATTTCTGAAAGATAGTAAGTAAACATTTGACAATAGGGCATTGTCATTTAACCTAGTCTGAAACTGATATTTTGAATTATCATTCCATAACTTTTAAAGGGTACATATTGTTATCATATTTATCACAACTGTTAAACTATTCCAACTGCTCTTCCATATAAAACGTCAATATCTGAAATATTTTCCAACTTTTACTATTTCATTTACCAAAAGATTATATGGAAATAAAAGAACAAATCTGATATTTTATTAGTTGGTTATTTTTAGTTGAACTAGTCGATTGACTGGTTGGGCTTTTTTAGTTCATGCCCTTGTCTACCAATCTGATGACGTTTGGCAGGCCATTTAGTCTAGGAGCTTAGTGAGTCCTGAAGTGAGCTTTGTTACTAACTGTGCATAAACTTGCTATCTTGTGTCAGTTTGTCAAATGTTCAATCCAACTTAAATGCACCCAGAGGGATAGTGAATTTCAGGGTTAGAACTTAATTAAATCTTACTAGTCGGGGTAAAGACAATGCCCCTTTAATGTGGAATTGGGAAATTTGTACTAGCTGCGTGCTAGTGTTAATTTCTTACCCTGGATTTAGGAAGCATCTGCTTACCTTAAGTAGGGTTCTGGATAGTCCTGGCTATCGATATAGATCTTAGAGGTCGATTATCGTGGACTAAATATCGATTAGTTATTGATAAATTTTGGAGAAGTAACTTTGAGCTAATATGCTAAAGCTCAGAGCAAAAACAACATATTTCACGTCACTGATGAGTGATGACACATTTATGCATGAATTATAATGGACAGTTAAGATATAACAAAATCAGTTGCTTACTGTCTTTGGCAATGGACATAACAAGTCTGCTTTGGTAAATTAAAACTTTCATCACAGTGGTTTATGTAAGATATTAACGATGACACAATTTTCATATTGATAGTCGTAACTATTTCTTCACATCAACGATAATTCCGATTCCTGGGTTGGATTTCTTGTCCGCTGTCATATTGCTGGAATATTTTCTAAAAGCAGTGTTAAGCCTTACTCTATCACTCTAGGGCTGTTGAGGTCTTCTATGGTATTTGAATCGAAGGACCCCGTGACTTTCATGCTAAGTTTCAACACTGTCACTATTCAGGGAAGTACCCGTAAGCAGTTCAAGTTTGTTGCACCCATGTGTGGTTACTTTCATAACCTAAGACCTGAGCAAAACAGGGATTTAATTTTGCAGTCTGCCAAAAACCTTTGATAATTCCAGGCCAAATGTTTGTCACTTGACTTCATTTTGAGTAGATGTTTGTTTGAACTATGGACTTTTAGAAGATTACTTATAAGCTCAAGCAAAATATATCCAGAGCAGGGTTAAACTCGTGGCTAAAGTTAGATTGATTTTGTTGTGCCAACTGTATGTTTTGTTTGTTTGTTGTTTTACGCCGCACTCGGCAATATTCCAGCTATACGACGGTGGTCTGTAAATAATCCAGTTTGGACCAGACCATCCAGTGATTGATATCATGAGCATCGATCCACGCAAATGGGATCAATGACGCTTTAACCAAGTCAGTTGGTCTGACCACCCGATCCCGTTAGTCGCCTCATACGACAAGCATAGTTTCTAACCCTGGCTTGCTAAAAAAAGTTGACTAACAGTTTTTGTCCACTGGTCCTTATAATGAAAACATATAGCAAAACCCTTAAAATGGGCGAATTTCTACTAGTCCTTAGGATACCTTTACTATTGGGCAGTTTGGTAATTAAGGACTATAGGACTAGTGCCAACTTCTAACGCTGCAAGCATGGCAGTCTGCAAATAATCGAGTCTGGGCCAGGCAATCCAGTAATTGACATCATGAGCATCGAAACCATGAAATTGGGGTCGATGACATGCTTAAAGGGGAAGTGTACACGCAAAAGTTACTTTCTTTCTTTTTCTAAACAAAACACAATTTTAGAATTAGTTAGTATCTGTGTTTGAAAATATACACTCATTTTTTCACAGTGAAAGTAGGAAGCTCACAATAGTGTGAAAATGATATGCCGTTATGAGGCCTTCGTTTTTCGAGCTAAACAGGCCTGAGTTATCCCCCTTAGATTATGACGTAATTAGTGCCAATTCAACTGGGTCCCTGTCTATTCTCAACGCAAAAGATATCAAGTACCAGTTTGCGGTAAAACAACATGGCCTCAGACACTCCGGCGCAGTGGTGACTCGGCATAACACTATGCTAGCTGGCATCTGAGACGCAAGAATCCCACACCTGTACCTACACCACGTGAAGCGGCTCTAACAAAGCATGATGACGTCATAATGTTTATCAATTGGCACCAATGACGTCATATTGCAAGGGGCATAAGCCATGGTGTTTTTGTTATGGAAATAGAACACTTGGTAAATGTGAAAAATATAAATAGCTTTAATTCGAAAATTATGTTGATTAATTGTGATATTTTTATATTTTTGTCTATGACACTTCTAGGTTAACACTTTTAATGTGGAAAAAGTACAAGAAAAATAGGTTCATTTCCGTGTGAACTTGCCCTTTAAACCAAGTCAGCAAGCCTGACCACCCGATCCTGTTAGTCGCCTCTCACTACAAGCATAGTCGCCTTTTATGGCAAGCATGGGTTGCTGAAGTCACATTCTACCCTGGATCTTCACGGGTCCCCAACTGTATGTGACATCTAGGGGACTATTTAGTGACACCTAGAACATTTGAGTCCGTTTATTCTATTGAATCTGTGTCACACTATTTAGACTTGTCAGCATCATACCAAGACAGTTAAAGATAGTACTTGTTACCCTGCCTGGTGCTCAACATTAAGTGAGGTATTTATGTTAAACTGCAGCATGGTATCTCATGGGGCTAGCACTATCAAATTGGTGTTAGTCTGGACTAGGACACACACAAACACACACACACACATCACAAAATGACTGCAATAATGTTGGAACGCCATGTTAAACCCCATTTCACCTGACCTCAATTCAGAAGTAGGGATAAGGGTACTTGTGCTACGAGTTCAGGGCTGATTTCAGAAGTATCCTACACCACAGTGGGATTTCTTATGTGGTTGAAGTACAACTTTTTGTGGTTTTTGGTGACATAATGCTGATATTGGTGAGCGGTTCTCCGTAGGGTTGACATTTTGTTGTTGTTTTTCACTTTCTTTCTTGATCTGAGCATGAGCTATGCACACAGAGTATTCAAATCTTTGGTATGGATAATTCCCTGTTGCTCATTTGATTTGTAATTAGTTCAAAGAGAAAGTTCAATTATGGTGCCGTATTAAATGTCCCCAACCCAGTGTAGGCCTGTGGTAGGTGGATTTTGTGTCAAACCCATTGTTTCAAATTTTTATGGGCGTTTATGGCCTGCAGTATATTTGCATCAAAATCTATTTGTCACACGTGTCTTTAAAGGAGGGCCTGCAGCTTCTTAAGTCTGGCAATTGTTTTCATTTTGGCCTGACCTACTTCTAGACCAATCTGTATTAATATTTATAAATGACACCTACTGAGAATGCAAGTTTACATATTTTGAATATTTTCTTTATAGAAAACAGCACAGTACAGGTTATATACTACTCAAAAGAAGTTAAGTACCCCTGATTCTTTCATTTTACTGAAGTTAATCTGTAATGCCATGACCGATTATCTGTAGTAATGTGAACGATTCATGTGATCCTTAGCTTCTTTTTAGTTGTATAATTGCCAAGTAACCATTATTGAAAAGTAAAATTACGAAGTTTGAACCTGATTTCTTCGCTTCCGCTTGATCTCTGAAAACAAAGCGAAGAGTTTTAATAAGCGCCCCCCTTTTGTCAATGTTCTCAACACCCCGGGGTCTTATTGCAGAAGACTGCCTCCCTTGTCTAGTGGATAGAACAGCCAGCCAGTGGTTCGATCCCCAACCATGTCATATCAGACTTAATAGATGGCACTCAGCATTGAGGGGATAAAACAAGGTATCCATTTTTAAACTGCTGCACAGTGTCTCAGTGGGATAGCACAGTGAAATTGATATTTGTCTGGTCGAGTATAGGCAGCCACATGCTCGTTGCTGTGCAAGTGCAGTAATCCTGAATGCAATGTTAAACTCCCTCTTTGTCACTTAACACAATGAAATAATGTTATACTGATGTCATACTGTCCTCTCACAAAACACATTCTCTTTACTATACAGATACATATTTCACTACATACGACATTCAGCTCACTTTAAATGTACCTCATAAGCAAGTGCCTTGCATTGTAAATATTTCACAGGTTTTGTGAAGTGTACACAGCATAAACACTCAAGAGGTTCTGGAGGATTCACAGACCCCGCAAACACCCTCTCGCTGCAACTTAATAGCAGGCTCCTTCATGAAAAGAAAAATCACATGCCCTAGTTGTTCCATTTGTGCCTCCTGGCTTTTTGGATAGGGTCCAGTAAATCTTTTATGCCTTGGTTGGAGTTCACGACACCAAAATGAAAATATGTCATTTTATTTCTGAGCAATCTGACCCTTGCCATTATATTTTCATACCATCATCTCCCATCATCTGCATGGACAATTGGTCCTGTGACCCATAAGTACCAACTATCCATGTATAGCTGAATCTCTGTGGCTGCTTTTAGAGTTTAGGTGGTCACACCTTTCAGTCTTCACTTACATGAACCCTCATGGATTTTGACCTCTTTCAGTACTGGATGTGGAAAGTCTCCTGATGGAGGCTGGCCAGGTATGTCAGCATATGTCTATCAAGGGCTCATTTCTGATTTGGAATATGTGACCAAAAGCAGTTTTTACTCTCTGGGTCTCAATCTTTGGTATTTATGATGTACTTCAGAGATGTAATTTACCTGAAAAATGTGTTTTGGATTTATTTTGGTTCATGTGAGGCTCCAAAGGATAAATTGTTTGATAGTCATTACTTAGAAGTTGACGGATGACAAGATCGACACACGTTTTATGGATAACAACTTCTTTAATACTGGGGAAAAAAACCGACGTTTCGGTATATATCCTTATACCGTTGTCAAGCAGGACTGAATGAGGGACATAGTACAGAATATGTATAGTAAGTGGAGGGTTAACAGTAACAACAATTGCATACATGAGTGGGATAACATTGGTAGGTGTTGACAACAAAGGGATGATGCTGTCACAACACGATGGACAGAGAACACATAGGTGGAAGCCAATAGGTACATGGAGCCAATAAACAGGATAAGTGATTATTGTTTGATGAGTTCATAGTAGGCGGA